GACCATTGCAGCTGTCGAAAACTTGCCGTTGTACACTTTGGGCACCTGAATAAAGGGACATTGCAAGTGTAAGTGCAGGAATTAAAGGGACACTATAGTCACCGAGACCACTTCAGCTGAAGTGGTCTGGGTGCCAGGTCCCTCAGGTTTTAACCCTTCACATGTAAACATAACAGTTTCAGAGAAACTGCTATGTTTACATTTGGGGTTAATCCAGCCACTAGTGGCTGTCTTCGGGACAGCCAGTAGAAGCGCATCTGCGACGCTGGAGGCGAATTTTGCCTCCATCGTGCAGAGCGTCCATAGTAAAGCATTGAGAAAGCATTGAGCATGCGCATTCGGCTCCAGTGACGTCGGACAGGGGAGCTGATGTCGGACAGGGAGGAGAGGTCACCAGCGCCGAGGGAGCCCGGTGCTGGATTAAGGTAAATGGCTAACCCCTTCAGCGCCACAGGAGGGGGACCCTGAGGGTGTGGGTACCATTAGGGCACTATAGTGTCAGGAAATCCGCTTTGTTTTCCTGACACTATAGTGAACCTTTAATTTTTGTTTTCCCAAAAGTTTTCAATGTGAGGACAAAACCATCACAAACGGAATAACGTCCCTTGCACATTCTGGCATCTTCAACAGTTAGAGGAAGCATCTAGATACATTTGATGTAATCTGCTGAGTCATTTTTAGTGCATTTTATTGGGATTCTTACATTTCGACATTGGTTGCCAATTCCAAGTTCAGCTGTGGTGAAAGACCTTTAATTCCTAACATAAAATAATGATTTTTTTATCTCTGCACATAGCACAGTTTTGGACATTTCCACTGTAAGTACAGTTAGTGCTGAATAACACAGTGAATAAGGTGGCCTTACTGGGGGAGAAGATACCATGTCTACTAAACAAAGAGGAGAAGTGGAGAATGGAACTAGCTTATTATTTATCAAGGATCACCAACTCTATGTTGCAAATCCAGGGGAAGAAAAGTTAAAGTAGTCAAAGGAGCTTGACTATGTAGATACTGTTTCACTCCATCGAAAAAGTGATCCCATATGGCTACCACTTAGCAGGTTGTGGGTAGAAAGTTACTTGTGCATTTTTGCATGGACTTAGGCATCCACATGAAACACTAAAGGGATTTTGGACTTCATTATACTTTTAAAGTTTTTATTGTGTAAAGTCATTACATTTCACAGTATAGTACAATATTATAAAGATACTCTTTGCTGTTTACATATCCTATCAAAAAAATGTGTATAGTTAACGAGTTTCATTATATCACGTTCTTAACTATTTATGTTAAAAAGTCAGTGCGCTGGTTTTCAATGATTTTGTGACAAAAAAAAAATAAGTAATGCTTTTGAACACATTAACAATAAGGGAGTCAGGAATCCCCATGGAGTCTATAAAGGTATTAGTTATTAGTTATTTTTTTGGTGTAACCTCTTACGAATACAGGTTGCAATATATAAATGATCTGCTATTGACAGCAATTTTCTCCATTATATTTAGAGTGGGTTATAGAGTATTAATCTGAGTCACTTTCCCTTTAAGAAATAAATATGATAGATTCTATCTCTTTAATTAATATATAACCTGTGCTCCTGTCCTCCACTACCCCCCAAAATGCACAAAGCTCCAAGTCAAACCTTACAACAATGAGTTAGCGCACATAATAGTAATAACTCTCAGATTAGAGAGAACACAAATGCAGAAAAATGAAATAAAAAAAGTATAAAAATAAAAAGTATTTGGAACTTATTCAATTGAAACAATGTCCGAGTATGTATATGTTCAAGTTCTTGCAGTTTGCATTGGAATAAGCTTCTTCTTGATACTCCAACACTCTAGGATAACCTAGAGAAAATAGAAGCTGGAATGGTATAATATACGGTGCAGCACTATATATACAGGGGTTAACACCACTCCCCTGCTACAGGGACTTTTACTGGTTCCACAGTGTACTCACAATATGTATAAGTAATGAGCTTTCAGTGGTTAAAAGGATTTCCACACTTTATTGACTTTCATAAAATAAAATAAACAAATCTTTGCAGCTGGCTTACAGTTCGTAGGGAAATTGAGAAGATCGTGATCAGTGGATCGTGATCAGTTGATCGTCCACCGATACCGCTGTTTGATCCTCTCCCCTGAACGCCAGGAATGTTGGCACCACGTGACTTACGCGTTTCACCCTAGGCAGGCTTTCTCAAAGTCTAGTGGTGTTGAATGCCGATCTCACTTAAATACTCTCCCTCTTATCTACAATCTCTTGCACATGTGTGACTTGCAACACATTAACCTTGTTAGTGCAGCATAAATTAACCCCCACATCCGAAACAAAGAAAGGTATAGGGGCTTCAATAGTAAAACAAACATACATTAGGATACTATATACCTCTTATATAATAAGGTCTTAATATATGAATAGAGCTTCTCAATATAAAGACAAAACTTAAAACTTTTAGGTCCGAATATATCTTCATAGCTCAGGCGCTATATAGCCACACTGTGGAAAAGTCCGAATATATCTTCATAGCTCAGGCGCTATATAGCCACACTGTGGATATGCACTTTAAAGAGATATTGGTGGGTTATACTCTTCTCTATATATCAAGTATTCAGTGCATCAATGTAAGTTGGCAAAATTACACAATTTAATATTTGAAAATAAATTGCACTAAATGGACAACTTTTAATAATAGCACTTGTGCTTGGAAGTGTATTTTCTGGCAAGCATCACATTTATAATCACTGTATATATGCATTAAACTATGAACTGTGTGTCTTTGTTTATTGATTTGCTGGGCAGCACTGCATTTGTGAAACTGTCTTTACTATTGAGTCTCCCCTCGAAAGCTGTGGACTCCAGTGGCGTCCATTAATATTCATGCAATTAAAGCAATTTAAATCACCTTCAAATATTCTTGTGTTTGTAGATTAAATAGGCAGACATATGTGGAGATTTTTTTTTTCTTGACTTTCATTACATCTTTCCAGTTGTTTTAAAATCTGCATTTACAAAGTAAAGAGAATGAGATTAAATAGCCAAATCTGCTTTCCTACTTCATAAACCTCTACTCTAGATTTCGTCAAGACAATTTAATTTTTAGCTTCATTCGTGGCTTAATGCAATGTTTTAGTTCATTGCGCTCTTTGGATGTGCAGAAGCAGAGATAATGTGCTACACTACATTCATTTAATGTTTCATCAGATTTTTTTTTATTTTTTTTTTGGTGTATCTACCTTTACGTTATTTTAAAATGTCTCATCTTTATCATTTCAGTCATGAAATGTAGATTCATTAAATTACTTTGCTGGGTAAGTTCACTGCTGAAGTCTTATTTAAAATGGAGCTGTGGTTAGTTTATTATGTGCCTGCTACAAGAAGGAAAAAAAAAAATACTGTCAGCTGTATCAAGTCTCTAACATTCTCTTTAAACAATGTGACTTAAGTCACAGTGACACCAAGCAGACAAGATATTTTATTAATAAAGAAAGGGGAATACATGCAGGTATTTAGTACAAGAAATGAAATATAAGTCATTATCGTTTTAAAAGAATATAAAAACAGGGAAAGTCCATAATATAACACAGAGTCCATTCTGCTTGTACGTTGTACTTTGCACATCATTATGGAAAAATAAGAGAATGAAAGGTTGATACCATCTGTCTGTCTGTCAGTCTGTCTGTCTATATTATCTAAAATGTTATCTTATGAATAAAAAATGTTATCAATAAAACATTTTTTTAAAGTTGGAGTGTTTACAGTACCTGTAAACATGTTTAGCTTACTATTTACCAACAGTAAGATGGTCCTTTTCCACAGTTTGCCATCAGTAATGATGAATAACTGGCCAATCAAATGCTTCTGTTTGAGGGGCATTGATACTCATAGTGCATGTGCAGCAATCTTCGCTCTGTGTTAGCAATGAGAAGCAATGTGAAGCCCTTGGCATTGCTCAGCACGTCCCTTGTGACATCATGGGAGCCAAGCAGAGGTCCAATGAAAGGCTTCTCATAAAGAAGCCTTTGACTGGACCATTTAACCTACTCATAGTGAATGTGTGCATTCTGAACCGATGAAGGGAGGAGGAAAGGGATTAAGGATGAAAAGAAGGAAGAGGGAGGGCGGGAAAAAAGAATAGATGAGGGGATAGTTATGAGGGAGGGCTGCAGTTAAAGGACCACTATAGGCACCCAGACCACTTCAGCTTAATGAAATGGTCTGGGTGCCAGGGCCATCTAGGATTAACCCTTTCTGCTGTAAAATTAGCAGTTTCAGAGAATAATGCAGATAATGCTTTCCTATGGACTGGCTGAATGCGCGCACGGCTCTTGCCGCGCATTCGCATTCAGCCGATGACATCAGAAGAGGGAGGAGAGTCCCCAGCGCCGAGGGAGCCCGACGCTAGAGAAAGGTGAGTGTTTAACCCCCTTCCTCCCCCTTCAGTCCGGCGGGAGTGTGACCCTGAGGGTGGGGTAACCCTCAGGGCACTATAGTGCCAGGAAAACGAGTTTGTTTTCCTGTCACTATAGTGGTCTAGCACACAATTCCAAATAACTCTGTACGTGCAGTGTTTCAAGCAGAAACACTGCACATCTAGACTTATACCACTATGACTACTTCTAAAAGCAGAAGTGGTGATTGTGGTTGAAGTAACCCATTACTTTTGGATTTTAATTAAAATGGTGTTGAAGTTAAGAAAATATCATTTTTGGACAATTTTGTGAAAAGATTTGAGTCTCAAACAGATATTACCTGAGAGAACTGTGATTTATTTCACAGAGAACTGTTAACTCCTTTCTAACATAAAGGATAGCAAAGAAAGTGTTTTTTATATACATGTAGAATATTGTTCTTATATATAGAATTGTATATTATATGTTTTTAATTTTCATTGAATACTTTTTTATTTTAAATAAAATGTAAAAAAGGAGTGTATATATATCGGTGTACCCATGCACCGGACCCCATAGGGGTGAACTTATTAACCACTGGGAATCATCATGGAGGATTTCCTGACAAAAGCAGGAGCTTACCTTGAACAAGTTGAAGTTACACAGATCACAGATGAACAAGCTGCAGCTATATTGTGGCCTCAGACGGACGCTGACTTACCAGCATCATCGGATGCAAAAGATATTATCCGTGAGTTACAAAAACTTAAACAGAAAGAAATAGATCTTGAATTGCATGCCATCTATTTATCAGACTACTACCGGATAAAGAAAATCCCTAGAGCCTTTAGAATTAAGAATGTTCCCACTATTGGTAGAAATAATCCAGAAGTCTGTCGCAAGTGGATTGGTGTATTAAACAAATGTTCCTTTGATCTCATGATGGTAGTCATTGAGGAAATGGGCAGAGAACTGAAAATCACTAAATATAAGATATCTGACTATGAACTTAAAAACACAGCGCTGATTACTACACCTAATTGTGATGCACTTATTAACAAACTGTCAGAGGATTTGAAACAATATAAGAAAGGTTTAATATGTTTCAAACATCAAAAATTGGACAAAGGGAATGCAGATTATACTGATCACAGGGTATACAAATGTCTTGTGGGAGAAAGTACATAATCCTATACAAAACCTTACAGACCCAGAATAAGGAAACCACTGGCATCCACTGTAGATTATACTTCAGGAGAATCAGCATCTGAAACAGAGCATACTAGCCAACGGCCAGAAAGCACTCATCAAAGAACTGAAACAAGCAAGAGCAACAATGTAGTTTTTTAGAGCCAGGCCTGGGCTTTACCAGGGAACCTGTATTGACGAATACACACCAAAGAAATATAAGCGACACAAATCGACATTTACCTGAAACAGACCAGCCAGGCGAGGCCAGAAGGGGAAGGCGTACCGGCATCAGAGCGAGACCTCTTCAAAGGTAATTGATAACCCTATCATTAATTTATCAAGCAAAATATTAACAATACCTGAAACCACATTGTTATCAAAGGGACTGTCATTTATTCCCACCACTGATATTAATTACTTTGAATGGGAAGTCGATCAATATAGATTCCAACATAAACTAAGACTGGCTGACTTCTTTAAATCTCGCCCAGAGAATGTTGTAAATGAACTGCAAGAAACTATGAAATGATATAGTTTATTTGATCCACCGAGTAATAACGCTTCCCTGAAGGTCTTCTCACAGACACTAAGATCTGAAAGCAGACGTTACCTCAATAAGACCAAAAAAGGTTCCAATATTTCCAAAAGTGAAAGGGATGCCCTTAAAAACTTGGCTGCAGATACTACCATCACTATTCGTCCAGCGGACAAAGGTGGGGCTATTGTCTTGATGCAATATCAAGACTATAGAAATTAGATTTTAAGACAACTTTCAGATGATAAAGTGTACAAATGCTCTGAAATATTTGGGAAAACAATTTTTGCAACACTACAGAGAGGGGTAGAAAATCACTCTATAACACAACAAGAATTTGAGTACTTACATGAAACTCACCCCAGGTGTCCGGTGTTGTACACACTTCCAAAAGTGCATAAGGACCCCATTCACCCCCCAGGACGACCTATAGTCTCAGCAATTGGTGGTTTATTAGAGCCCATTGGTAAATGGCTGGACAAGATAATTAAAACTCCAGTGTTGTCTTTGCCTACCTGTGTCAAAGACAGTGTAGCTGTTATTGACCGTCTTAACAACACCACAGTACCGGCAGAGGGGATTTTACTAGCAACGATTGATGTGTCTAGCTTATACACAATAATCCCACACAATGATGGTATACTAGCAATCAAGGTTCTATAGAATTTTACTGAGTGGATGAATCCCCCTCTGGAGTATATACTGGAACTTTTGAAGCTATGCCTCACTTTGAATTATTTTAGATTTGAAATAAAATTCTATAAACAACAGACAGGAACTTCAATGGGGGCTCCTATGGCCCCTATGTATGCAAACGCATACATGTTTGTTTTTGAGCAACAACAGATCCTTGGGCCTTATGGAGAACATATATTACAATACCTCCGCTTTATAGATGATGTCCTTCTTCTATGGACTGGTGGAGAGGAAAAGTTTGTTAACATGAGGCACGCACTGAATTCACTTTCTACACCTGTGAGATTCACTTACCAGTCGAGTATGACTAATATCAATTTCCTGGATCTTCAAATTTTCATCACAGGCAATCGCTTGGGCTATACTTTAATTTCTAAATCAACGAATAGGAACACTATTCTGCATTCAACAAGTTTCCATCCTAGAAAACTAAAAGAGTCACTGCCTATCTCCCAATTCATAAGAGTATTGCGCAATAACTCAGATGACAGCCGGGCGGAGATACAGATTCAGGACATGTTCCAAAAATTCCTACAAAGAGGATATTCAAAAACGGTTTTAAATGTAGCATACACAAAGGCAATAGAATCAATTGCAGAAAACAGGATTCATCAAGACATCGGTGATCGATTCATCTTCCCTCAGGCATTTCATCCAAAGTCCCAAAAACTCAGAGATACCATTCAAAAAAATTGGCACATTCTATACAATGACTCATCCCTGCCTCCTGTATTTAAAAAACATCCCATTTTACAGAAAAGGGAAAAATCTGAGAGACTATTTGATGCACACAGATATAGTGTCCACAACACAGTCTTTACAGAAAGTGACAAAAGCAGGATGTTTTCGCTGTTTGAACTGTATGGCGTGCAATTCTATGATACCGCGTAAAACATTCTGTCACCCAAAATCTGGAAAGGTGTATACAATTAAACACTGGATTAGGTGCAGGACCACACATGTTGTGTATAGAATTATATGCCCCTGTGGTCTCACTTACGTGGGCAAGACATCTAATGACCTAAGGGAACGCATGCGGGGTCACAGATCTACTATACGTTCAGCACTACTGAGCGGCACTGCAAGCACTCCAGTCGCCCGGCATTTCCTTGAGATGGGACATAGCCTGTCCTCACTTCGCTTTATGGGAATAGATCACATACCCATCTCACCCAGAGGAGGAGATCGTGATAACCTGTTACTCAGACGTGAGGCTTTCTGGATATACACGTTGGAAACATTATCAGCATCTTGTTTAAATGAGAAGAACTCATTATATTGTTTTTTTACCTAGAAGATAATATATGATTGAGCTTTACAGAATGCATTAATATAGTACAGTTATTTGCCGTAACTCCATGATGGAAGTAGTCCATATCGCATATTGCTTCAAAATTGCACTTACAATATTTTGCTATATAACTGAGTTAATATTTAGCTAATGATGATATGTACTATGTATCTATGTTCCCTTGGTTAGGGTTGAAACAATTGTATATACTTTATTTTTATAGTTATTTATCTTTTATTACTTTCTGACTTATCTACACGAGAGTATGTTTCACATACCAGGTACACATAGGGTTAACTTCAATTTATTACGTAATTCAAACATGTTTACATCATTAATGACATCATTCTGATCCGTTGTTACATTTCACCTGTTCACCTCCAAATAGGATCACTGCATTTGTTGTATATAAGGTATCCATCTCACATACACAATTGTCTTGAAAAAAGTATTTTACAGACTGAAACGTCGACTGGAACATTGTGTGAATTTGTAATTGCTCAATAAAGCAATAGATGAAATTTACCTTGAAAGACTCCTGAGTGCTCTCTACTGGCATCGTATATGTATATATATATATATATATATATATATATATATATATATATATATAGTTATATATATATATTTAAATAAAACAGTACATAAAATATATATAATTAACATTTATTTTTATTTTACAGTCATAATATAATGAAATACTGAGCTAAAACACAGACACTGGATTTCTATAGTTACAGAAAGCAAATCAATGTGTAAGTAAAGGAAAGTATAAACATTGCATTGCATGGTTTTTATTTTCATTTAGGAACATTGTGTTTTTTTATGTTTATTTTTAAACTTGAGCATGGTGGAAAATTTGTTTCAGCTGAACCACTTTGTCCGAACATAAAAAAATATTCAATATATGCCAGTTTGGTTTACCCGAATTTCTTTAAAAAAAAGATTAAAGAAAACAAGTCAGACAAACCTAAAGGGCAGAAAAATTATAAAAAATATGAATATAATCAATATTTTGGATATATTTTGCATATATTTTGCATAACCCTGGTAGGCCAATTTTCCCACAATTTAGTACACAGATCAAGTGAGAGAAGTAACCAATATAGGGAAGAAGAGGAGCAGCATTAAAATAAATAAATAAATATATTTATATATATATATATATATATATTATATATTTCTTGAATGTAAAATATATAAATATATATATATATTTTATGCTGCCTCTCCCTTTTTCCCTCTATTGCTCACTTCTCATTTGATCTGTGAATAATGGTGACTGATCCCTAGCCATCAATCATTTTTTCTCCCATTTTTTTGGACGCCAATGTTGTCATTCTGAATCATGATTCAACACAAACATGCTTGCTTATAGCACAGCATTTCATCTTTGATTTGGCCACATTTTGTCTGGGATTCATACCAATCACATGATTGGCCCATATTCAATTTAATTGTTATTTGGAAATAAATATATCTCCAAGTCTATTTACTTTTAGGCCCCTGGCAAATTTGTAAATTGCCATAGGAAAGTATACTGTAAATCCATTCATGAATATAGAGTCACATATTTTGGTATTTGGCTCTGCATATAGCTCCAAACCCACGCATTGGACACTATAGTTACCAAAAACGTTAACTGCTCAATGCTATGCTATTTAGGAGTTAAATCACTTTTGTTTTTGTTTATGCAGCCGTAGCCACACCTTCACTGACTCTGACTGACACAGCCTGCATGAAACAAAATGGTTTCATTTTCAGATAGTAACTTGTTTTAAAAGTTCTTATCTCCTACTCTCTAAATTGAACTTTAATCACATAGAAGAGGCACATTTAGGGCAACACAGCACAGGAGATATGAAATTTAAAATTAATCTTATTTTGCAATAAATTGATGACTCTTTACAGGATGTGTTCAGGAAGGTTGTGCAAGTCACATGCAAGTGGGAGGTGTGACTAGGATTGCATAAACAAAGTGATTTAATTCCTAAATAGCAGATAACTGAGCAGTGAAACTGCAGGGGCATCATCTATACACCAAAACTGCTTAAATAAGCTAAAGTTGTGATGGTGATTATAGTGTCCCTTTAAGCTTAAAGTTTAGTACGTTCCAAATCCACTTGCAAAACATAACCCACACTTATTCAAGGTCCAGATAGTGCAACATGTATAAAGATGCATTCACTTTGAGAAGGACTTAATGTTAGAGATCAAGTAAAAAAAAACTGAAATTCCAAATATAAAGGAATGAAAAAGTAAGATAAAGAGGGTAAATATTGTAAATTTCAACGTTCTTAATGTGTGTAAATTTCAGAACATTGAGTACAAAGTGCTTATTTGCGTACACAAATCAGATTATCGAACATGTACAGTTTTTCTGACAACACGCTTACCCCTCAAGCCATAACAAAGCTTAATAAACAAATAATAAAAATATTATGTGCATGTAGTTACAGTCACACCAGTGTGTGA